AGGTGAATGATGGCTGTGGAGATACACTCGGGCGAACAGATGTGCAACCGTTGAGCAACTGACCACCCATGTGAACCAAGGGGTTACCAATATTGGCTTTTCAATGACAGTTCTGCGAATGTTGCCGCATATGGACCTCTGCAGCAGATGCCTGATTAAAGCACCTACGCTGCACTTCATCGGCAACGAAGCCTGGAATTTGCATGCCAGCACCGCAACCGCACATCTACTGAGTGGCGACAGGTGACTTTTTCTGATGAATCATGTTTTATGCTCCATCGGACAGATGGACATTGAGATATAGAGCGTGAAACGTTGGAAAGCCCTGCAACAACTGCTGGAAGTGTCCAAGCTTGATCAGGGAGCATTATGGTATAGGGAATGTTTTTGTGGCATTCTCTGTGTGCACTCATAATTGTGGAAGGCATGATGGATCAACAGAAATATGCATCTGTCCTTCTCTACATGCAAATTGCTTTTCCTGAGAATGATGGCATTTACCAGCAGGACAATGTGAAGTGTCATACCACTCGCAGTGTACAAGCATGATTCAAAGAGCATCAGGATGAGTTTACCATACTCCCCTGCCCAGCAAACTCTCCGGACTGAGTTTCCTACAGAATACAGTGGCCCTACAGATTGCAAATCGAGAATCTGTAGGACCACCTTGATCGGGTTGTTCATGCCAAGGATCCTCAACTGTAAAACCTAGTGCAGCTAGCCACTGCACTGGAGTCGGCATGGCTCAGCATTCCAGTGAACACCTTCAAGAACCTTACAGACTCTTTTCCTGCATGTCTCGCAGTGGTCGGCTCCACGAAAGGTGGTTATTCTGGCTTTTGACAGGTAGTTACATTAATGTGACTAAACTGTGTAGATAACATAGACAAGCACCTGTATTTCAATATGTATCTTTCTTAAATGAAACTGAAAGTGTTTGTTTCTATCTTTAATTACTGAATACAATGCCTATAGTAAACTAAAATGACTTTTCTCTTCATTGCTGATAAAAATTCTAATAGTATACTCATCATAATTTATAATCTAAGAAACAAAAGTACAAACTTATGCTTCTATGAATATATATTACAGTTTGTAATTACAATAGTATATCCAGATCCAATTAAACTAGTTGGTGGCTTTAGGCAAATCACTGTTTTAAAGCCAATGCCCACTCTTTTATTTATTTTTTTTTTAAACAAGAAACAGGATTATAGGAGATTATCTGATGACTGAGAGTCCCCTAGCATTTGGAGCCATATTTGCTAATGAGACCATCATATCTATCATACATATTCGCAAAAGAATGTAGTCTTTTATATCGCAAATGGAGAAGGGGATATACATAACAGTATGCACAACAAATCTTTCTCAGCTTTCTGGAGAACAATATTTTCTCAAAAATGTTTCAATGATCTTCTTCATCTTACCTTTGTATGCCATTTTTTACTACCATATTTGACGGCATATAAGACGCACCCTTATTTAGAAGGCTACACACAAGGAAAAAAATTTTAATAGTCCGCGTTACACAATAACTTATAATGTGCTTTCTTTTAGTTCTCGCATTTCGTAAAAGCCAAATAAACAATCATTGAATGCAATTACCAAACATATTTTTATCAAGGAAAATTAACAAATGGCAAGCTATTTTGAACATCATATGTAAATTTCAATAATGAATAAATGAATGAACGGCAAGCAATCAAACATAATACAAAATAAAGCAGAAACAACAAAAAACACAGATTCAAGGAAAACATTGCCTATCATGAAATTAGACTTTAATCACTTTCAAAACCATAAAAATCCCTTTCACTGTCATCATCATTGAAAACGAGAATATCATCATCACTACAGTTTCCGTCATCGCTAGTATCACCTTCTTCGAATAATGCATAGTCTTCTGTTCCGTCAAGTGCATTACTGATTCCGAACTTCTTAAAGGACTTAACAATTACTTCAGCCTGTACGTCCTCCCAAGATCTTTTCTTACCTCACTCGCACACTTGGGAAATAGAGGGCCGCTTCATTCTACCTGAGGGTGTGATGGCGTGATGTGGCTCTCCTATCCACTTGTTCCATCGTTCTCGCACTTTTTCCTTAAATGGCTTATTCACTGATACATCTAAAGGCTGCAATTAGCTAGTCAGTCCACCAGGAATGACAGCTATCTGGGTTTTTAATTCTCTCGCTTTATTCTTTATGTTTCAGTTCTATGGGCGCTAAACTGATCCAAAACACAAAGTCCTTGGTAAGAAACCAAAAGGTTTTCTTAAGAGTCCACCAGGTCGCCTCGCCCATATGTTCTGTAACCACAGTTTCATTCCAGCTTTTCGGATGAATATGAACAATTACTCCTGTTGGAAATTTTTCTTTCGGATAATTTTTTCTTTTGGGTATGAAAAACGGTGGAAGTTTTGTGCCATCAGCACAACCTGTTAGAACTACTGTATATCTGGTTTTTTCATGACCTGTGGTTTTATGGTTACTGATTTAGACTCTTTAATACTCACAGTCTTGTTGGATGGTACATCAAATGCAAGTGAAATTTCATCCATATTTCCTATTTGACCGAGCTCAATAGAAGTTTTCTTGCGTGCATTTATAAACAAACCTATGAAATGCTAGAATTTTTTTCTTCATAATCTGCTGGCCATTTTCTGTGCAATAGTTGTTTTTGTGCACATTAATAAGCCTTACTTTTTCATGAACCTGTAGCACCAGCCCTCAGAACCCTGAAAAGTTTCTGATTCCCCCAAGTTTTTCTGCGCATCCTTTGGCCACATTGATTGTTCATTTTGGTTGAAACACTTATCCCAGATTTCCTCTTATCTATCACCCACATTTTTACGGCGTTTTCAAGTTCAGGCCAATATGGAGATGGGCATCGAAGGTTCTTTTTGTTTTTTAGCAGTCTTCAGTTGATCTTCCTGCAGTTGAAGTACAAATAATTTTTTCGGTAGGTTGGTGGACCGAAATGCCTTGCTGCTGCTTTGTTTCTATGCACTTTGGCGTAGTTTAACACTCCTAGTTTATATTGAATTGTATAGCTTAATCTCTTGTTTCCTGTAGTCATATTTTCCAGGGTATTTTTTTTTAAAACAAATAGTTTTAAGCACCGATACCTACACGTTTATACAGAGTAGCACCAATACCGATACCGACACATGTGTCGGCTGAGTCAAAGAAAGTCTATGTAAAGAAGGAAAGGCTCCATAGACATAGTGTGACCGTCGAACCTGTTCGAACTTCGACATCAGCTTCGAGCTTTGGCGCTTTTGGCGACAGATATTTCACAGATGCGCAAAATAATTATGGCAGATGTAGAAAAAGTTATGTGTGTCTAGACCTTTATCCGGGCTAAAAATAGCATTCAGTATTGAAAGTTAACCTGTGTCCTTCATGTATAAGATGCAGGTAACTTTTCTGAGACCAAATTTAGGAAAAAAGTATATATGCCGTCAAATACGGTAAATAAGCTACTTAAGTACAGGAGTAAATTAAAACCATATAAAATATTTTATTATACTTGATAAAATATTTTGATACTTTGCTAACCATTAAAAAATGAACAGTTTACACATCACCATTTCGTTAATAATAAGTAATCATGAAAAAATTAACTATAACTTTTTAGAATTCTCAATACCTGTGGTCAGTAAAGGAAGTTGTCATGCTGTGATGGTCAAATTTGAACTTTTTCAAAATACAATAAATCTTTTGTAACCAGTAACATCAAAATAATAGAATTTCGAAAGTCTAAGTCTGAAATTCAGAACATGAAACAAAGAAAAAGTATGGATAACAAACAGAAGACTTAAAAGTGGAAAACATTTATCTTGTTTCTGCTGCCCAGCATAAGAAGCCTTATCCAGCCAATAAATTAAAGAATTTTCCAGAATATCAAAATGTAATACTGATCACTTTTAACGAACTGATGTGTGAATTTTAAAGGTATCATGTGAACGTTTAAACATGACTTTCAGAAACAATTCACATTAAAAGACACCAAGTATACTCAGTTTTTGCTAGGAAAAATATAAGGAATATTATGTCAATGCTGGTGTAAATTGTGGTCTATGATCACGTTTGTAGACGAGAAGTCAAGTGACAAAGATTCTCTTGATTTTAAAACACATTTGATACTTGTGTGGATTTACTTATATTCAGGAAAGATTAGTGTTAATAGAGAAGGTGCAGGCTTGAATGGATGTTGACAATTTTGTTTTCATCACATTCTCAAGATGATGAAATAACTGGACATGTACTGGTAAAGGAAAGGCGATAACAATATGTACAGCAACAAAGTAACATGGAAGGAAGCTGATGAAGAATTGTAGACTTTCACAATATTTCCTAAGAAATGTTTGTTTTTGTCCATATATGACATTATGAAGCTTCATTGTATATAAACTGTGACGATAATCTTGTAAGCAAGCACACATTTGAAGTTTTGTGCAAACTAAAGAAATTTGTAATCTTCATATGATAATTAAAATTGTGATTTTTAAAATCTTTAATTTTGTTTTTCTAAAATCTGAAATTGTATTAGTTTTAATTTTAAGTAACCTGTATGATTTTCAATATTATTTATTAAATTGCAGTCAATAGATCAAAACCATGCCCACTTCACATGCTGCAACTTCTACACATAAAAATTAAACTTCTTATTTCGTATCCGCAAATTGCTCCAGGTTAAAAGTGATTCTATAGTATAACATTAAATGTAATTCCAGGTGGAGAATAAGAGCACTTAAACATTTACCAGTCTGAAAATTTCCAAAACAAGAGAAAAGGGATACAAACTCCATCCCTCATACACATCCTTAACTAAAACTGGGATAGAGGAGGTTATACTGTCAAAGGCATTTGCTATTCAACAGCATAAGATGCATGATGTGCACTTTTACAATTACGCACATAGCAAAAGCAACAACATAATAGTAATTCATTTACACCAATTTTTCTGCCACAGTACAAAATATCAAACAACAAACTAAAAAAAGCAGATCTGTGATTTTAAATGATAAATGAGCAAATTAATTTGCTCGAATTTACACGTATGAGATCCATAAAAAACAAAGGATTATCATATAAAAATATAAGTCATTCTAAGACATCTTGGTAAAAGTTTACAATTGGGTGCCCCCTTTTTTTGGCGATTCTTTTTTGACGCCAAGATCGGCACCAGGAAGACACAATTTCAAGATGGCCGCTACACAAAACCAAAATAAGAAGTCAAAAAAATTGCATAAACTCTGTGTCCATGTACACATCGATCTGTTTTCACTCAAAAAAACATCCCGGCATTGCACACTGCTTTAAATGTGACCATGTACACATCAATCTATTTTTATTTTAAAAAAAATCAGGAGGGTAAAGCAGAGTTAAACTATCATGGTAACCAGAAATGAGATTCGCCAAAATTTTACAAAAAATTGTCGCTAATCGAAGGGGCACCCAATTCTATACTAGAGCTGACATCTTAAATAGAACAATATGGGTTATCTATAATGGCTTATTCAAATCTTAATTCATAACATCATACAAAATGGTTAATTTTTAATAAAGCTAGAAATTTTTTTTTAATATTATTAAGAGCACATATTTTTTTTTCTTCATTAAAATTCTTGAATAATTTTCATATGTTAGATGAATACCAAACAGAACTTTTAAGAATCAATAAAATTCGGTATATTTTGCCTTATTTTTGAAAAAATTTTAAAGGCAAACTAATATGGCCCTTTTTTTTTCTGGAACAAGCTTGTTTTTATAATCTTGTTAAATGCTTTAAACATACCACATAATTTTTTGTATTATTCAGGTGAAAAAAATGAAGCACTTCTAATATGTTAACCTGCATTACATTATCAGTAAAATTAGTTTAGTTTAAAAATTTACTACATTAATTATTCAATATTGGTGTTTCACAGGCTATCAGCAGAAGTACAAGCTTTCTAAACTCCAAATTTGAGTTTGCTAATTTTCAAGGGGGGGGGTAATAAAAAAGAGGTACTCTTCTGTTATCGGGACTGGGTTCAGAAATGTATATATGGATGTATGCATGTATACACATTCCTGAATCTGGTTCCAATAACACAAGAGTATCCCAAAATCTTAACATGCAAAGCTACCAATATTTTTTACTAAACTGCACAGTTTAAAGAAAGAAAAAGAAATACAGTTTTCTTATCTGAAATACTGTACAAAATTCTTTATATGCAAAGCTGTATTTTCATTAAACTGCATATTTTGAAAACATACATTTTCATTAAAATTAGTTGTTCAAATATCTGCAACTTTTAAATGAAATTCAGAATGCTAAATTACCATATTATTTGAAAAATACAAGAAATACAAAATCTAACAGAGTATTTAATCAATAATTTAATGATAACTCAATGTCAAAAGTAACAAGTTAAAAATCTACGGAAAGAAAAATTACATATAGTATTTCTAACTTTCTTGCCCACACAAAAAAATAAAATTATATTTCTGTCATTATATTATTTTAATACTGTTTTGAAATGATTTAATGTGACAGTTAACGACTTATTTTGGTTACGTGAATAATTATATTGATTTTTTTTCCAAAGCATTAAGCATCTAAAATAAGTATATAAAATTCAAAGCATTTGTATTTCATGCTTTATCTTCTGAATTTTTAGAAAAACGAGAGAGAATATTATTTGTAATTAGTTCTTTAACATCACTTGCATCTAATGTTTCATACTTCAGTAATGCTTCTGCAATTAATCTGTGTTCTTTACTATGAGTTTTTAGAATATTTTTGGCTCTTTCGTAAGATTCAGCAAGAAGGCGTTTAATTTCTGCATCAATGAGCTCAGTTGTTGTAGCAGAAAGTTCACTAACTACAATAAGAGAGTTCTGATGCTCCTCAAATGTTCTTACACCAACTTTATCTGACATTCCCCATTCTTTTACCATGTTGGTTGCTATTGCAGTAGCTTGCTTCAAATCACTTGCTGCTCCAGAAGTTATCTTTTCAGAACCAAAGATTAGTTCCTCTGCAACTCTACCACCCATTAAAGTATCCATTTGTGCTAGCATTTGAGACTTGGTGACGTGATAATGTTCCTTCTCTGGAATATAAGCTGTATGACCAAGTGATGGTCCACGAGGTATAATCGTTACCTTATGTAGAGGATGGGAGTCCTTTGTATAATGACCAACTAAAGCATGACCAGCTTCGTGATAAGCAGTTATGATATTTGCTTCTTCGTCAGGTATACGAGATTTCCTTTCTGGTCCCATTAAAACTTTATCTCGAGCACTTTCTAAGTATTTCATCGTGACAGAATCTGCTTTATCAATTGCGGCTCTTAGTGCAGCTTGATTAACCATATTTTCTAAATCAGCACCAGTAAAGCCTGTTGTTCCCCGAGCAAGAACTTCAATATCTACATCAGATGCCATTTTGACCTTCCCGAGATACAAGGTTAGTATTTCTTTGCGACCATTAAGATCAGGTACACTCACGTTTATTTCAACATCAAATCTACCTGGCCGCAGGAGAGCTTTATCTAAATCATCTCTTCGATTGGTTGCCCCTAAAACGATAACTCCTTCATTCTGCCGGAAACCATCCATTTCAGTAAGTAGTTGATTGATTGTCTGATTAGCGTATGGATGAAGTAAAGAATTACTTCTTTTAGCACCTACCGAATCAATTTCATCAATAAATATAACGCAAGGTGCTCTTGATTTTGCTCTACTGAACAAATCTCGAACTCTTCGAGCACCTTGCCCAACTAGAATTTCATCAAATTCTGGTCCAGCAGCATGAAAAAATGGTACATCTGCTTCTCCTGCAACAGCCCTTGCAAGCAGTGTCTTTCCTGTACCTGGAGGACCCACCAAAAGTACACCTTTTGGTAATTTTCCACCTAAAGCAGAAAACTTTTCAGGATTTCTCAAAAATTCTACTATTTCTTGCAATTCTTGCTTTGCTTCATCAACACCCTTTACATCTTCAAAAGTTACATCAATCTCTTCTGGATAAACTTCATTAGCCGTTCCCATGAAAACTTTACGAAATGATCCACTCATCACAGATGACAAGATATATAAAATGAGTATTATACCTAAGAGATCTCTAAAAATATTAAACATACTTAATTTTGAGTTTGTTTTTTCTTTTGAATCAGCTGCTACATATCCTTCTGCAAATGCTATTCTCAGTCTTTGCTGCTCTTCAGGTGTTAAATTTTCATTTGATAAAAGTGTTTTTAATTTAGCATTTTGTTCTGCTTCAACCTGACTTTTAGTTTTATCTTTAGTTTTCCATCCTCTAAGAATAGGCACTCGTTCTGTCCACGCTAAAGAAGTTTCTCTAGTATCTGAGCTAGTCCGTAAACCAGTCACTTGTTTAAAACTTCGTGTTTTAAAACTTCTAGAGTGCTGAAGACCATTTAAAGTAAAATATAATTGAGAATAGACTGCTACATAACTTTTAGGTTGTATATAAGTTCTTAATAAATTCGATTCTGGGAATCCATACTTATTCTCAAAATATGTTGAGCTTGATGAATAACATACGGGTCTAAGCATTGAACTATTTTCTGCATCAAAAATTCTCTGCCTAGCTACTAAATATGAGCAGTATTCAAGTAGTATCGGATCTATATTTTTAATGACCTCCTGCAAACTTTCAGCACACAATATATTTGGGGAATCATGATTAATAACGCGTTTCTTTTCTCTCACTTTTACACATGCTTTGTTAGCATAACTGGATAAAATTGACGCAAGATTTTTGAATGGTATAAATAACTGTGATAAGGAGTGCAGAGGTGTTCCGAACTGCAACATTACAGTTGAATTAACACTACGGGTTAAATTAAAAAATTATGTAATCAAGATCACAGTTGCCGGATGCTTTCAAACAAGCTATTTACGATCTTCGACACACTTCAGATTATTTAGAAACCACACACATAGCACAAAGAAATGTCAGTTTTATATGAATTAATGTAATACGAGATCAGAGAGTAATTTCTTTTAAAACCAATTAAAATTAGCATATATTTACACCTTCGAAATATACGTGAAGACTCAGAAGTTGTCAAAAACGATGACGATAAGATAAAAAAATACAGTGCTTATTTCACATGAGGCTCAATTTTAACACGGATTCTCTGATGAAGGTAGATCAAATTGAGCATCATTTACTGAATAAACTCAATTTTGTTTTACTACATTAAAGACGAAAAGTGACAAAAAAAATCACTCAGTAAGTGATTAGGAAGCTCATTTCTTTTAATCTGCAATTTTCGTATTTGCATAATATCCATCAACACTGCGAATGCTAGACCACTGACTAGTTGCGCAAAGACGTATGTTCCAAAATCTGCGCATTATACTACATTCAATTTCAAACTGTTGAATAGTGTAAACACCTAAGTACCGCGGGCGGCTAAAACCCGCCGGGAACTGAAGAAATTTAACCAATCAGAATAAGCCACCGCCGGAGACTGTTTTTTAATATTAAAGAACCTTGGTTTTTGGCAACCAATTTTTAAGCCAGCAATTGAAGGTTTTGTTTTGGATTTATTTTCCGCTCATATTCCTGTTTTCGTATCTTTTGATGATATCTTCTTTTTTTTTTTTGCTTTCATTTATAATAATGTTATAATTTTTATTTCTATGAAAGACAACGGAGTGAATATGGAAAATTCGGTGGGTTCTCACATGAAATGAGGTATAAAATTTTTAGACTGTCCCCGAAAAAATGGTGTACAGTGTTGTATCGCAAAAATCATATGCTGAATTGGACATTTCACTTCATTTTATAGCTCTGAAAATAACAGAGAGCATTTATTTTATACCACCAAGTCAAAAATGCACATGAAAAAGGCTTTCTCAAGTTTTCCTGTGCAAATGATATGTTGCTCTTTTTGAATTGCTTCTTATATATATATATTTTTTTTTTTCAGAAGCTTTCTAAATACTAACAAATAGTAATTTAACTTTTTCTAAAATGTATTGCATTTTTGTGTGATATTTGTTTTTTAAGAAATGTAACACATTGAATAAATTGATAGCACAAATTTCAAATATACTGTATTTTTGAAAAGGTTGATATACGAGGGTAAGTTGAAAAATAATTTTGCCCTATCGACTGTTGTCAGAGTTGTGTATGAAAGTCAAAAAATAGAATGAGAAATTAAAGATATGACATACCTTTATTTTCCCAAGTACATTGAGACATTTGTCATATCGCTTGATAAGCTTCAAAAAGCCCTCCAGGAAAAAAACAGGGCTTTGCATATGGAAGAAGCGTTGAACGGCTATGGGCGAAAGGCGACACAGCAGGAAAACGCGCAAGTCACCGATACACCATTGGGTAGAGGTCGCTTCAAATCAAGCAGATGGCGCTGTTGCAGTGCCTGTGCAAAGCGGAGACCAGCCTCTCATTTGAGCCCTGGTAGGTATAGAGAGAAGGTGCGTTTTGAATTCGTGGTCAAAGGAGGAAGTGAGAGCGGTTATTCGCTATGAATGGGCACGTGGAGTATCAGGAACAGAAATTCATAACCGCCTCGTGGAAGTCTATGGGCCAGGTGTGATGTCGAAGCAAATGGTGCGGAGATGGTGTCGCACATTCAGTGATGGACGTCAGCAAGTGGAGGACATACCGAGAGCTGGACGGACGCGCACGGTCACTACAGATGCAAATGTCAGGAAGGTGGATGACATGATTAGAGCGTACCGGCGTATCACCATCGATGAAGTAGCGGAAGAACTTGGAATCTCACATGAGCGAGCTGAAAACATCATCCACGACATTCTTCGATACAGAAAAGTGTCAGCACGATGGGTGCCCCGACAATTGACCTCGACACACAAGGAACAACGCATGGGGGTCAGCCTGGAACATCTCGTGCGTTACCATGAAGATCGCAATGACTTTCTGTTTCGGATTGTGAGGGGGATGAAACGTGGGTCCACCATTTCACGCCAGAATCGAAGGCCGCATCTATGGAGTGGAAACATCCGTCATCACCTGTCCGAATGAAGTTCAAGACAACTCCCTCTGCAGGTAAAGTGCTCCACAGTTTTCTGGGACGCCCAAGGAGTTTTGTTGCTGAACTTTTTGGAGGTTGGAACCATCAATGCTACGCGCTACTGTGACACCCTGTCGAAATTGAAAGAGGCGATTCGGAAAAAGCGGCCTGGCCTTCTCACATCTGGCGTTCTGCTGTTGGATGACAATGCCAGGCGACATTCGGCGACGGCAACGCAAAACCATATTGCAACTCTTGGTTGGGAGCGCCTACACCATCCGCCATACAGTCCTGATCTCGCACCAAGCGACTTCCATCTGTTTCCGGCTTTGAAGAAAAATCTCGGGGAAGGCGTTTTGGAAGCAATACTGAAGTGAATTAAGCCGTTCAACGCTTTCTTCCATATGAAAAAGCCTTGATTTTTTCCTGGAGGGCTTTTTGAAGCTTATCAAGCGATATGACAAATGTCTCAATGCATTTGGTACCTATGTGGAAAAATAGAGGTATATATCATATCTTTAATGTCTCATCTATTTTTTGACTTACATACATAACTCTGACCACAGTCGACAGGGGAAACTTATTTTTCAACTTACCTACGTATAATTTTTTTAATTGTTTTGTTTATCTAAGAAAATCTGGAATTTTCTCCTAATTTCAACACATAAGAAACATATGTTAGGGAAGTCTTCCAATTTTTATATTTGAATCTCAGTTCAATTAAAGTACTTGATTTATATTTGATTCCCAAAATAATATTTTCTCACAGAAGACTAGGTGCAATACTTTTACAAACATAACATGTGGGAAGGATTAATGCATTTATCAAATAGATTTTCAGAAACAAATGTCAGTAGCATAACATAAGGAATGTAAAATGTGTTATATATTAGATATATTACATATATTAGGTACAATTATATATTAGATACAATGCAATTCATAATCATCTGAAAAAGAACCCATGAGTGGTAAGACTACTGAACACTGATAGTTATGTTTATATCCTAAAAAATGCGATTTTGGACACATTTTGCTCAGCTTATCTGGTCTGATGATCTCCATAAAACAGTAAATGGAAAACAAAGTATTTTTAGCCAATATTTATATCTGATCTACAAACAAGATTACTGTGGCTGTGAAGACCGACATACTAGTGAAATTGTTATGTGTCTTGTAGATATTACACAAACACATCAGCTAGAGTGCTCTATCAAGGAGTATGGAGATAGATACCACATAACCAAATATGCACATATCAAACATTTGTAATTATGTATTTTAAAGTTATAGACCTCCAATACGAATAGAATTTAAATTTCTCTAATATGTACATATTTATGAATCTTCTGCGAAATATACTTATTTTGCTTAACGCGAAGTGTGCGTAGTTCGTAGATTCGTTCGTTGCCTAAATTGTGCAATTCGTAGATTTTTTTTAAAGTTAATGAAAAATATTCCTTCCACAAAAATAAAACGAACATTGCGTGGAACATTTCTCCTGCACAGCACTGGTATATCATCGGGCAACCAGGCCTGTCACTTCAGAGTAAAAGATTAAGATCTCTCCAAACGGGCATGGCCAGATTCAGAAGCGGACATCTTCGATGCATGAAATTCAACGGGAGGGGGGGGACCTTTCAATCCTGTGCGTGCCCTCTCCCGCTCACTTACTAGTTTCTATAGGCGTTTCCCTGAGACAGCTGTCCACTGAGCAGGAGGGTGTCAGCGATTTACTTGTGCGGCAAGGGCTCTTGGGATTGGTGTAGGTTTTCCTGTTCCAAGGGGATTAGTAACAAAATTTCAATTAGAAAAGGCTTTTGATGCCCTCTATGAAACAAACAAACAAAAAAATATAACACACACACAAAAAAAAAATATATATATATAACACAAAAAAAAATCAGGCCACATCTTTAGGGGGGGAATTCAAAAATATAATTTTATATGTATGGTAGTTTTATGGTATAAAATATAACTAAGTTAATGTTAGCAATATTCTCCAAACTAAAAATTTTAATATTTCTCAGACTTCTGAAAATTAAATATATGAAACTTGATTATCCCCTGATGCCAGCCATCAAGAGCAGGTATCAGTTTGTATGAGAACGCTCATATCTATAATCAGATTTTATCAGATCTGTAATCAAGATTATAAATCTATTAAAACCTTCAATGATATGCTCACCGAAAGTAAAGAGCTGGCATCTTCTTTAGATGTTGATACAAATTTTTAAAAGCCAGGACACATTAAGACCTCGAAAAATAAAAATAAAAATTAAAAAAAAAAAAAAAAAAAAAAATTTAAGAAGGCGAAGATCAGCCTATACAAAACGAAGTAAACTTTAAAGTAAATTTTTATTTTTATTTTAGATGTTGCAATATCATCTTTAAGTGAAAGGTCTTCTTATTCAGAAGTTTTTAAATTTTTGTTGAATATTTTTGACTTTAATAAATACTCTGAACAAGATCAGCTCTATTTATGTCAAAAACTGCCAAAAGCGTTAATTGATAAAAATCAAAGCGATAGTGTACATCTTATGCATGGACCACAGGTTTTGCAAACATTTGGAGGAAATGTAGCATCGCCGCTTGAACTCTAAGCTATATTAGTTGTCAACAATTTAACTCAGTCCTTTCTTAACATTTTTATTGTTTTACGCATTTTATTGACAATTTCAGTCTCAGAAATTACAGCAGAGAGATCATTTTCAAAATTGAAAATAATTAAAAATTACCTTAGATCTACCATGGGTCAAGAGCTATTGGCAAATCTTGTAGTTATTCCCACTGAAATTGACATTTTATAGAAATTAGATATAGATTTACTTATAAATCAATTTGTGAAAAACAAAGCCCGGAAATTTCAATTTCTATAATTTCACTCCTACCAAATATTGAAATTATGTTGTTTCAGTTCATTTGTTTATTATATGTGTGTTAGTATTATATGCTTTCTTAACCTTATGATCGAACACAATTTATATGAAAATGGATTTAAGGAGTTAGGCCACTTGGGATGCTTGAAAAGTAGATTCAGCTCTCGAGCTTGCTTGATGGGTTGCTTTCAAAACAAGCGTAAATCGA